GGTTTCTTCACTTCCTTGTGGCCAAAGCCATCTTGTTGGTTTTAGCATCTTCATTTGTATCCTGTTACGACCCAAGTCCTCTTCAAGACTTTTGTGTTGCCCTCGATGACGCTAATGGCGGTAATCTCTAATTACTAAATATAATATGGTCTCTTAACATCGTACTAATTGTGATATGTATTAATTACAATTCAAAAGTAGAAAGCTAAGTACATATAACATATATATCGTCGTATTTTATTAATAACCAACGTAAATACATAACATTAATAATGTAACAATTAATATAGATACGATGATTTTTCGTCTTTTTCTTTTCAGTTTTCGTGAATGGAAAATTCTGCAAAGACCCAAAATACGTGAAAGCCGAAGACTTTTTTACTTCCGGACTAAACATCGCCGGAAACACCATAAACCGTGTCGGATCCAACGTTACAAACGTTAACGTCGACAAAATCCCCGGACTCAACACCCTCGGAGTCTCTCTTGTCCGAATTGACTTCGCTCCGGGCGGTCAAAACCCGCCACACACGCATCCACGAGCCACCGAGATCCTCGTCCTTGTCGAAGGAACACTCTTAGTCGGGTTTGTGACATCGAACCAAGACAACAACAGATTGTTCTCCAAGGTTCTTTATCCAGGAGACGTGTTTGTGTTTCCCATAGGAATGATACATTTTCAAGTGAACGTTGGGAGGACGTACGCGGTTGCGTTTGCTGGTCTTGGAAGCCAAAACCCCGGTACGATCACAATCGCAGACGCGGTTTTTGGATCGAAGCCTTTGATTATGCCAGAGATTTTAGCTAAAGCGTTTCAGCTTGATGTAAACGTGGTTAGGTTTCTCGAAGCAAGGTTCTCTTCCAACTATTGATCGTCATTATTAAGTCTAAAGGAATGACGAGAAAATGTATCAACATATGAATAAATGGTCTCATATGCGGTTACAAGTATGTAATATATATATATATAGTGTGTGAGAACTAAAATAAAACAACTAAAATGTGATTTTACAGCTTGATAATTAAAAAAAAGGTGTGAAGGTACGAAACCAATCTATGTATAAATTAAAAAATACTTTGTTTTATCATCTCGTCCGTGAATACGGAAGAACATCTCATACCACCATCGATGATAAAATAAATGATTATGTTCATCTATATGATAGTTAAAAAAAGATCAGTTTATAAAAACTATATAAACGTATGGTTTGCGATAGAATCGTCATTGTATCACCAATAATTGAATAGTTTCATTATTACATAGTCAAGTTTTTTTCTTCTTTTGTTTGAAAGATAATACTGAAATTGAATAACTTATACAATTGGATAGAAGTTATGATTTTCTCCATTTATTATTGTGTTAATTCACAAATTTCATCCTATTTTTTCTGACATATTTGATTTCTAAATTAATTACTGACTTTATATAGTTTAATCAAATCTTACATATATTTGAAATATTCATGTAAATCATATTAAAATTAATAAATTAAAATATAGTTTGTAAATGCGACACTTGATTAAACGCACCAACCAAAGAGTAAAAAATTACAGAAAACAAAGAATATCATTGAATTGGGTAGACTTGCGGTGGAAGGGAATAAGATTATTCCCAAAAGATTTTATTAAAGAAAAAATAAAATAATTTATAGGGTTTGAAGTTATAATTTCCCAGGCTGGATTGTTTGGAGTTTGGACCGTGAATGGATTCCAACTCTTCGCTGATTTTTCACATAATTTATTAAAGATTAAACCTTTCCTTAATCTCCGCACT